CTTTCCTTTCCTTTCCTTTCCTTTCCTTTCCTTTCCTTTCCTTTCCTTTCCTTTCCTTTCCTTTCCTTTCCTTTCCTTTCCTTTCCTTTCCTTTTCCTTTTCCTTTTCCTTTTCCTTTCCTTCTCCCTAATATTTAGGAAGCTGTAACAAGCTTGGCACAAAACCCTCCCCAGGTTCCAAAGGCATTAATTGTCTCACTTCACATGCAATAGGTTTCACTTTTGGAGGGAGCAGTGAAGCCGTGGTTGCTGTCTCCCCCTGAAGATCTCCGGATCTTTACACTCCCGTCAGGCTCTGTTAACTGTGCTGCTCCCAAGGAGGGGCTGAGGGGCACCGGCTCCTTTGGCCAGATAAATATGCAGCCCCACATTCAGGATGAAGGTAGAAAAGAGATTTCTGCAGTACCCTGACATTTACCTCTGTGCTCAAATGTGCTGGTTTATCATTCTTCTACTAAACAGTGTTCAGTGCAAGATCACCTTTTCATCCCAAATTCTCCCAATATTTTTGGGAAGCATATGTAATTGTTCTGTCCTTTAAAAGTGTTCTAGCTTTCTGTGTGGTGATGTCAGGAGAGATTGCCATGGAAGATTATATGCTCATGCTGTCAAACTGAATGAATTTATAACGGAAAAGTGCCACATAGTTAATGTGGATTTATATGCTCCTCAAAGTTTTTTGAAGGACTTTAAAAAAAAAAGATGTGACTATTTTTTTCCTCCCCATCTGAATTAGTCAAACTACTCTGCCTTCCAAAGTATAAAGAAGCTATACAAATCTCTAAAATTGCCTAAACCAATTCTCTCAATTTTCACAAATTAAGTGATTTCAGGAAGAAATTTCCAAGCATGATTAAATATAAACACCACATAAAACATATGATATTAGAAACAATTTATTGTAGAGGTTGAAATTACTTATCTGAATTTTTAGAGTTCTTTGAAAATATAAATTCTACTACATTTGTTTTAAAGTTTAAAATCAAGGACATGTTTCAAACAATATACATTTTAGAATAGTTATAAATCAGAAAAAGCACACTGAATAATAGGTATTTTCATAACAAACTTTAAAAAGTTTTAATATTTTGTGTTTGTGAAAACAACATGCTTCTTGTAACATTTCTGATTTAGAAGTAAGTATAAACTTAATTTTTATCAACAACGGGAATTTTTGCATACAGAAATTTAAAAATGCCTTATTTCTTTTAAAATTTTACAATATTTTAATTTTTAGAAATTTACAGCTGTCTTTGGAAATTAATGTTTTAAGAAGGTTATTAAATATTGTTATAAAATGAATTATGACTACCATTTGTAGCTATTTCTACACTTACGTAATTCTAAAGTATTTTTTGTTCTGGAAATACAAAAATTTAGAAATGTGTATTGAAAGAGGAAGAAATTTCTTTCTGCATCACTGTTTTCTGATTTTACATCAAATTTTTCTTTGTGAAATTATATTTTTCAGTACTTTTCAATGTCAGTGTTTTTAATTCCAATTCATCTTTAAATCACTATAATTTCAAAGAAATCAAGAAAGAATCCACTTATACCGAAAGAAATTTAGAAAGGAAAATTCTAATGTATTATTTGAATTTGAATTAAACTTCAATCAAACTCCATTAAAATTAAAAAGAAATTATGTTATATGCTGTGTACAAATCACTTTCATAAAATTAGGTCTGTACTGTCTTGCTGGAAATAATGAATAAGCCAGTGGTGTGGAAATGGATAACAAGCAATTACCAGAATGAGTATAAAGCAGTTGATTAAAAGAAGCTGGTAGTGGTGGGCAATACCAAGAACTGTGATGAATAGACCAAAACTTTCAGAAGGGATGAGACACAATGTATTGTTTTGTTTTGTGCATTTTATCTGTATTTCTGGAACAGCTGAGGTTCTGCTGGGGATTCACAGTTTGATCTTATAAGAAGCATTCTGCAGAACAACATCAAATTTCCTTTTCAAAAAAAAGATTTTCATAAAGGCTTTGGAAAATAGTTTGCTTTTATTAGGGAGTTATTGTTGGATTTTGTTTATTAACTTGCATCTTAATTCTCAGCTAAAATAGTTTTAATCCATTTTTCCAGGCATTTATCCTCAAGAAAAACCAGAACTGATGAAAGACCGACTATTATAGTAGAGATACATCAGTCAATTATTGTGAATTTGAATATTTAGAATTTATTTGAAAATGTTAGCATAAATTATGACTTTTTAGAAGTCCCCTTTAGCAAGCCAAAATAGATTCTCTAAACAGAAAAGTAGTAATTATACTGCATAGAAAATTATTCCTGAAAAGATATTTTAGACATCACATCTAATACCAAACTTAGGAAATAATTATTCTCACCTGTCATTAGCCGTGTTATAACTGTGTGAAAACGGATTATAAATATATACTATGTATTTTAAAGCTACTTTTAGTGAAGCATAAGCATAATGAGAAAGATGATATAACTGAACACTAAGAATTAATTCCAATGTGAAATATCAAAATATTTTTCATGTGTAACTTCTTAGTTGAACACTTAAAAATTCTAACATATTTACTAACATATTTAGAGACAAATAAGTAATTAACATTCACACAATGTTTTAACTAATTTAAGTAAGAGAAAGTACTATCTAATCTATGTAAAATGTGGAAGCCACAGCATAATTGGTACTGATTAAGGCATCTAAACCAATTACAGTATGATTGTTTCATTTATTTTTCTTTCAATCAGAGCCTTTGTTTATAGCAGATAATTTTGTTTTACAAATTGTATCTTTCTGTTTTTACAGTAATAAACTATACTGTGGGGCTATTGTTTCTTAGTACAAAGAACTATAACATAATGTCAGGGTTTAAGGATACACATATT